ATGTGAGTGATTTACGGACATAATCAATTTTGTTTTTATTTTATCTAATTATATATTTTATTCGTCGATTTATAAGCAATTGATTTCAATTCCAAACAATAACGTACATCATTAACTCTCCAAAGAAATTCCCTTCGAGTTGAGGGCACTTTTTCTATCCGTATCTGCCACGCTTCTATGCATTGCTGGAAGGATTTTTCTTGGATGTCTCTCAACACCATCGTTTCGGCCCTAGTCTTCAAAACGGGTCCCCTAAATGATCCCTTTGAGTTTGGTGAAAAGAATAAAGTCACACAGTTCAAGTTCAGGTGAATAGGGAGATTCCTTTCGGCCAGGAACTGCCGGATGATCAGAACGTTTTGATCAGGTGCCTTGACATGGTAAAGTAGACACGATTTGTCCTGCCACAAAAACAATATGTGAAAAAAAATGCAATAGTTGCAGAAAGCTAATATTACATATATATATATATATATATATATATATATATATATATATATATACATACTCTCAAGATATCATGTTGGATGATAACACAATCCACTTATCCCTCTTTCGTCCATAACTCACACAGTACTCCCAGTCCCATTATTTTTAGATAGACCTTATATATATATATATATATATATATATATATATATATATATATATATATATATATATATGTATTTGTTTGAATAAAAGACAGACCACGTTAAGATTCCATGTAATAAGCTATTTCACCATAACCCTTTAACAGGGTTCTGGATCATCAGACTTTACTTCCAAAAGCTGAAATGAAGAATGAAAAGAAATTCACGCGTTTTTTACGGACCTCATCAAGTATACGCAAAGTTAACGAAGTGAGGAAGTGAGGTGGGAGAGAGGATATGAGTGTGTCATATGTATCATTTTAGTTTCCTATTTTAACCTCAGTGTGTCGGCTGGATGTTGCTCAAATCTAACGCGTCTCGTCTCTAGATAAAGGTGGTTAAGGGGTGGGCAATAAGGGCTACATTAAGGAAGACGCGTTACAACAGCCCCAATAAATTACACGACAGGTTTCATTCAAATTCCGAGACGCTGTCAGTTCGCGTTACTTTAACGTGCATATTTGGGAGGTTAAGGTTTGATAAATATCTAAAATTTATTCGTTTGATTTTTGTTCATTAAGTAAACCTGTGATTGTTTTTGATTTTTGTTCATTAAGTAAACTCGTGGTTGTTTTTAGGCCCTTCTTTTATACGAATAAATGTCAACCTAACAAGCTATAAGATAAAAGCTTTAGTGGAAAAAGTACTAAATATAAATTGATTACTCTTTCAATGTTCTGTCTATAGATCTTTCCAATCGACAGCTTCATAGGAAATACCCAAAACTCCACCGAATTTCAAATTAATTTCTTCGTAGATTGTTTTAAAATTTTAGATATTTATCAAACCTTAACCTCCCAAATATGCACGTTAAAGTAACACGAACTGACAGCGTCTAGGAATTTGAATGAAACCTGTCGTGTAATTTATTGGGGCTGTTGTAACGCGTCTTCCTTAATGTAGCCCTTATCACCCACCCCTTAACCACCTTTTATCTAGAGACGAGACGCGTTAGATTTGAGCAACATCCAGCCGACACACTGGGGTTAAAATAGGAAACTAAAATGATACATATGACACATTCATATCCTCTCCCCACCTCACTTCCTCACTTCGTTAACTTTGCGTATACTTGATGAGGTCCGTAAAAACGCGTGAATTTCTTTTCATTCTTCATTTCAGCTTTTGGAAGTAAATCTGATGATCCAGAACCCTGTTAAAGGGGTTATGGTGAAATAGCTTATTACATGGAATCTTAACGTGGTCTGTCTTTATTCAAACATATCTGCTCTGAATTTTACATTGAGCTCTCTGATATCATCCTCCTCAGGTCTACCCATACGGATTACCTAAATTTGAATAAACTATATATATATATATATATATATATATATATATATATCCCAAAAAGCAAGTAATAACGATAGTGAACACACAGGCAAAAATGACATACTCATTTATTACAAAAACCAAATGCATCTTCATTACAAACAAGACGAATCTTCACCAAGACACATTATAAAGAAATACACTACCCCAATTGACCTGAACAAAAAAAATCAAATTGATTATCTATTATAAAAAATTTAAGACAGCTAACCATATCCTCAAAAATAACAGCACACCAGCTAAGTCAAAATTACAAAGATCCAACATCATCTATGAGTTCAAATGCACCTTAAAGGACTGTGTTCCTGATCAAACCGGACTCATAAATAATTACATTGGTTACACAACTACATGCTTATCCAGACGACTTACGTTACACCTATCTGATCACAGCTCTATTAGAACCCATTTAAACACACACACAAATTTATCAGACTCTATTAGAAACATACTAGTAGAAAACACAAATATATTAACTGCATCGACATGTAAAAAAAAGATTAAAAATAATGGAAGATTTATAATAATAAAAAGAAAAAAACAACTCTTAGCAATATTAACTACGAACAAGGCCACAATGTGCTAACCGTATTCAGAAATTAAAACATCCCCACTACGCACTAAGACATACAAATAATGCACACACTCAAGTAAGCTGAAAAATCGAATCATCCTTGATAATGGCTAAAGGTATAGCCGAAAGCGCTCGGAAATATAAAACCTTTGGAGAGTTTTTACACACTCATTGTCCAGAAAAGAAAGCTCTTGTTAGAACACAAGAAAAATTAAATAAAGAGCTTAACCGTAGTACCTTGTCTGTCGTTTTTAATGAAACATGCATATATATATATATATATATATATATATATATATATATATATATATATACATATATATATATATATATATATATATATATATATATATATATATATATATATATTAAAGAAAGAGAGAAACCGCAAACGTTTTTGGTTGTAATGGATTTTTTTTTTAATATTATGCTTTATTTTCAATAATTTTGCTACACGTCTATCCGGTCTCGCGATTGTCACCAAGCAAAGTGTGGAGATTTCCACATATTAAAAATAATTAATTTTTTTTTATGTTTTTCGATATTCTTGATATGAGACATTATATATATATATATATATATATATATATATATATATATATATATATATATATATATATTAATTATGACTCCTTGAGTAGGGCCTCACGATTAACTTGTAATCAAAGTGCAATAAAAACATCTATCAGCACACAATCTAAAAACCTTAAGAAGAAGTTTTAGTCGAGATCATTATAATTCTATGTAAATCAAATAACCGAAAACATCTCGCTATAACAGAAGCGATGTATATCACACATCTCACTCGCATTATCAAATTCACCTTGTTTAACAATGGGAGTGGAGCGCTGAAAGTTTATTTAAAAATAGAAAGATGCTCACTCGAATTCCAGCTGTGACGGCTCAGAATGAACGGTCCTACTAATATTCAAAAACGCACAAAAATACAGTCAAAACATAAAAAGAAACTGGCAACACCAAAACAAATCCGTGAAAATGACTAAGGAAGTGACCAAAAACGCTTGGGACAATGGATGATATTGAAAATTTTTGTTCTCCTCACTCCCACTAAACGGAAAAAATATAAGAACGCCAGAAAACTAAATCAAAAATTGATAAAATTCTTCTTGTCCGTCATATCTAAGGAAAGGCTTTAAAAGAAAGTTTGCTTCCCAAATATGCATTAATCAAATATATATATATATATATATATATATATATATATATATATATATATATATATATATATATATATATATATATATATATATATATATATATTATTTATTCGAAAATTATAACATAGATATAAAATCACTACAAAAATAGCCATTTTGTTGTAAAACATCTGGTGTCTTATCAATAATTCCAGACGAATGCCTAAACGAAAAAAAAAAAAAAAAACTGCGCATATTCTTTATGAAATATTCCTTCGTTGTTCATTTCTACGGCCATAACACGTTGAAACACCAGGTTCCTCTACAATCCCCAAAGTTAAGCAACGTCGAGCCTGATCAGTACCTAGATGGGTGACTGCTTGGGAATACCAGATGCTTTAAACTTTGATGTGCGTGTGGTATGGCTTACGGCCTTATCATGTTGAAACACCAGGTTCCTCTACAATCCCCAAAGTTAAGCAACGTCGAGCCTGATCAGTACCTAGATGGGTGACTGCTTGGGAATACCAGATGCTTTAAACTTTTGATGTGCGTGTGGTATGGCTTACGGCCTTATCATGTTGAAACACCAGGTTCCTCTACCAGGTGACTGCTTGGGAATACCAGATGCTTTAAACTTTCCCCAAATGTTGAAACAACGTCGAGCCGTCGATCAGTACCTAGATGGGTGACTGCTTGGGAATACCAGATGCTTTAAACTTTGATGTGCGTGTGGTATGGCTTACGGCCTTATCATGTTGAAACACCAGGTTCCTCTACAATCCCCAAAGTTAAGCAACGTCGAGCCTGATCAGTACCTAGATGGGTGACTGCTTGGGAATACCAGATGCTTTAAACTTTGATGTGCGTGTGGTATGGCTTACGGCCTTATCATGTTGAAACACCAGGTTCCTCTACAATCCCCCAAAGTTAAGCAACGTCGAGCCTGATCAGTACCTAGATGGGTGACTGCTTTAAACTTTGGGAATACCAGATGCTTTAAATCCCCAAAGTTAAGATGTGATCAGTACCTAGATGGGTGACTGGATGCTTTAAAACGGCCTGTGGTATGGCTTATTATCATATTTGAAACACCAGGTTCCTCTACAATCCCCAAAGTTAAGCAACGTCGAGCCTGATCAGTACCTAGATGGGTGACCTAGATGGGTGACTTACGGCCTTATCATGTTGAAACACCAGGTTCTCTACAACACAGGTCCCCTACAAAGAACGTCGAGCCTGATCAGTACCTAGATGGGTGACTGGGGAATACCAGATGCTTTAAACTTTGATGTGCGTGGGTATGGCTTACGGCCTTATCATGTTGAAACACCAGGTTCCTCTACAATCCCCAAAGTTAAGCAACGTCGAGCCCTGATCAGTACCTAGATGGGTGACTGCTTGGGAATACCAGATGCTTTAAACTTTGATGTGCGTGTGGTATGGCTTACGGCCTTATCATGTTGAAACACCAGGTTCCTCTACAATCCCCAAAGTTAAACGTCAACGTCGAGCCTTGGGAATCAGTACCTAGATGGTGGTGACTTACGCTTGGGAATACCAGATGCTTTTAAAACGTTGATGTCAGTACCTAGATGGGTGACTGCTTGGGAATACCAGGATATGGCTTTGATGTGCGTGGCCTTATCATGTTGGAAAACACCAGGTTCCTCTACAATCCCCAAAGTTAAGCAACGTCGAGCCTGATCAGTACCTAGATGGGTGACTGCTTGGGAATACCAGATGCTTTAAACTTTGATGTGCGTGTGGTATGGGCTTACGGCCTTATCATGTTGAAACACCAGGTTCCTCTACAATCCCCAAAGTTAAGCAACGTCGAGCCTGATCAGTACCTAGATGGGTGACTGCTTAAATACCAGATGCTTTAAACTTTGATGTGCGTGTGGTATGGCTTACGGCCTTATCATGTTGAAACACCAGGTTCCTCTACAATCCCCAAAGTTAAGCAACGTCGAGCCTGATCAGTACCTAGATGGGTGACTGCTTGGGAAACTTTGACCAGATGCTTTAAACTTTGATGTGCGCAACGTCGAGCCTGGCTTACTTGGGAATACCAGATGCCTTAAACTTTGATTGAAACAATCCCCAAAGTTAAGCAACGTCGAGCCTGATCAGTACCAGATGGGTGACTGTTGGGAATACCAGATGCTTTAAACTTTGATGTGCGTGTGGTATGGCTTTCGGCCTTATCATGTTGAAACACCCCCAAAGTTAAGCAACGTCGAGCCTGATCAGTACCTAGATGGGTGACTGCTTGGGAATACCAGATGCTTTAAACTTTGATGTGCGTGGTATGGCTTACGGCCTTATCATGTTGAAACACCAGGTTCCTCTACAATCCCCAAAGTTAAGCAACGTCGAGCCTGATCCCCAGTACCTAGATGGGTGACTGCTTGGGAATACCAGATGCTTTAAACTTTGATGTGCGTGTGGTATGGCTTACGGCCTTATCATGTTGAAACACCAGGTTCCTCTACAATCCCCAAAGTTAAGCAACGTCGAGCCTGATCAGTACCTAGATGGGTGACTGCTTGGGAATACCAGATGCTTTAAACTTTGATGTGCGTGTGGTATGGCTTTACGGCCTTATCATGTTGAAACACCAGGTTCCTCTACAATCCCCAAAGTTAAGCAACGTCGAGCCTGATCAGTACCTAGATGGGTGACTGCTTGGGAATACCAGATGCTTTAAACTTTGATGTGCGTGTGGTATGGCTTACGGCCTTATCATGTTGAAACACCAGGTTCAGTGCCTAGATCTTGGGAATACAGATGGATGTGCGTGTGGTACAATCCCCAAAGTTAAAAGTATGGCTTAACGTCACCAGCCTGATCAGTACCTGAGATGGGGGTGACTGCTTGGGGAATACCAGATGCTTTAAACTTTGATGTGCGTGTGGTATGGCTTACGGCCTTATCATGTTCAGTACCTGTTGAAACACCAGGTTCCTCTACAATCCCCAAAGTTAAGCAACGTCGAGCCTGATCAGTACCTAGATGGGTGACTGCTTGGGAATACCAGATGCTTTAAACTTTGATGTGCGTGTGGTATGGCTTACGGCCTTATCATGTTGAAACACCAGGTTCCTCTACAATCCCCAAAGTTAAGCAACGTCGAGCCTGATCAGTACCTAGATGGGTGACTGCTTGGGAATACCAGATGCTTTAAACTTTGATGTGCGTGTGGTATGGCTTACGGCCTTATCAAAGTTGAAAGCCTGACCCTAGGTTCCCAGATCTTTAAACAATCCCCAAAACACCAGTTAACAACGTCGAGCCTGATCAGTACCTAGATGGGTGACTGCTTGGGAATACCAGATGCTTTAAACTTTGATGTGCGTGTGGTATGGCTTACGGCCTTATCATGTTGAAACACCAGGTTCCTCTACAATCCCCAAAGTTAAGCAACGTCGAGCCTGATCAGTACCTAGATGGGTGACTGCTTGGGAATACCAGATGCTTTAAACTTTGATGTGCGTGTGGTATGGCTTACGGCCTTATCATGTTGAAACACCAGGTTCCTCTACAATCCCCCAAAGTTAAGCAACGTCGAGCCTGATCAGTACCTAGATGGGTGACTGCTTGGGAATACCAGATGCTTTAAACTTTGATGTGCGTGTGGTATGGCTTACGGCCTTATCATGTTGAAACACCAGGTTCCTCTACAATCCCCAAAGTTAAGCAACGTCGAGCCTGATCAGTACCTAGATGGGTGACTGCTTGGGAATACCAGATGCTTTAAAACTTTGATGTGCGTGTGGTATGGCTTACGGCCTTATCATGTTGAAACACCAGGTTCCTCTACAATCCCCAAAGTTAAGCAACGTCGAGCCTGATCAGTACCTAGATGGGTGACTGCTTGGGAATAAACAGATGCTTTAAACTTTGATGTGCGTGTCGAGCCTGGCTTACGGCCTTATCATGTTGAAACACCAGGTTCCTCTACAATCCCCAAAGTTAAGCAACGTCGAGCCTGATCAGTACCTAGATGGGTGACTGCTTGGGAATACCAGATGCTTTAAACTTTGATGTGCGTGTGGTATGGCTTACGGCCTTATCATGTTGAAACACCAGGTTCCTCTACAATCCCCAAAGTTAAGCAACGTCGAGCCTGATCAGTACCTAGATGGGTGACTGCTTGGGAATACCAGATGCTTTAAACTTTGATGTGCGTGTGTGGTATGGCTTTACGGCCTTATCATGTTGAAACACCAGGTTCCTCTACAATCCCCAAAGTTAAGCAACGTCGAGCCTGATCCCCTAGATGGGTGACTGTTAAATACCAGATGCTTTAAACTTTGATGTGCGTGTGGTATGGCTTACGGCCTTATCATGTTGAAACACCAGGTTCCTTTCTACATCCCCAAAGTTAAGCAACGTCGAGCCTGATCAGTACCTAGATGGGTGACTGCTTGGGAATACCAGATGCTTTTAAACTTTGATGTGTGTGGTATGGCTACGGCCTATGTTGAAACACCAGGTTCTCTACAATCCCCAAAGGCCTTATCATGGGTTGGGAAACCAGATGCTTTAAACTTTGATGTGCAGGTTACGGCCTTATCATGTTGAAACACCAGGTTCCCTACAAAAAGTTAAGCAACGTCGAGCCTGATCAGTCAGTAGATGGGTGACTGGGGAATACCAGATGCTTTAAACTTTGATGTGTGTGGTATGGCTTACGGCCTTATCATGTTGAAACACCAGGTTCCTTCACAATCCCCAAAGTTAAGCAACGTCGAGCCTGACTGTAACTGGGTGACTGCTTGGGGAATGATGCTTTGATGTGCGATGTGGTACCAGATGGCTTTTGTACCTTTTATCATGTTGAAACACCAGGTTCCTCTACAATCCCCAAAGTTAAGCAACGTCGAGCCTGATCAGTACCTAGATGGGTGACTGCTTGGGAATACCAGATGCTTTAAACTTTGATGTGCGTGGGTATGGCTTACGGCCTTATCATGTTGAAACACCAGGTTCCTCTACAATCCCCAAAGTTAAGCAACGTCGAGCCTGATCAGTACCTAGATGGGTGACTGCTTGGGAATACCAGATGCTTTAAACTTTGATGTGCGTGTGGTATGGCTTACGGCCTTATCATGTTGAAACACCAGGTTCCTCTACAATCCCCAAAGTTAAGCAACGTCGAGCCTGATCAGTACCTAGATGGGTGACTGCTTGAAAATACCAGATGCTTTAAACTTTGATGTGCCAGGATGAAACACCAGGTTTAAACTCGAGCCTTGATGTGCGTGATGGATGTATGGCTTACGGCCTTATCATGTTGAAACACCAGGTTCCTCTACAATCCCCAAAGTTAAGCAACGTCGAGCCTGATCAGTACCTAGATGGGTGACTGCTTGGGAATACCAGATGCTTTAAACTTTGATGTGCGTGTGGTATGGCTTACGGCCTTATCATGTTGAAACACCAGGTTCCTCTACAATCCCCAAAGTTAAGCAACGTCGAGCCTGATCAGTACCTAGATGGGTGACTGCTTGGGAATACCAGATGCTTTAAACTTTGATGTGCGTGTGGTATGGCTTACGGCCTTATCATGTTGAAACACCAGGTTCTCTACAATCCCCAAAGTTAAGCAACGTCGAGCCTGATCAGTACCCAGATGGGTGACTGCTTGGGAATACCAGATGCTTTAAACTTTGATGTGCGTGTGGTATGGCTTACGGCCTTATCATGTTGAAACACCAGGTTCCTCTACAATCCCCAAAGTTAAACGTCGAGCCTGATCAGTACCTAGATGGGTGACTGCTTGGGAATACCAGATGCTTTAAACTTTGATGTGCGTGGTATGGCTTACGGCCTTATCATGTTGAAACACCAGGTTCCTCTACAATCCCCAAAGTTAAGCAACGTCGAGCCTGATCAGTACCTAGATGGGTGACTGCTTGGGAATACCAGATGCTTTAAACTTTGATGTGCGTGTGGTATGGCTTACGGCCTTATCATGTTGAAACACCAGGTTCCTCTACAATCCCCAAAGTTAAACGTCAACGTCGAGCCTGATCAGTACCTAGATGGGTGACTGCTTTGGGAATACCAGATGCTTTAAAACTTTGATGTGCGATGTGGTATGGCTTGCTTACGGCCTTATCATGTTGAAACACCAGGTTCTTCTACAATCCCCAAAGTTAAGCAACGTCGAGCCTGATCAGTACCTAGATGGGTGACTGCTTGGGAATACCAGATGCTTTAAACTTTGATGTGCGTGTGGTATGGCTTACGGCCTTATCATGTTGAAACACCAGGTTCCTCTACAATCCCCAAAGTTAAGCAACGTCGAGCCTGATCAGTACCTAGATGGGTGACTGCTTGGGAATACCAGATGCTTTAAACTTTGATGTGCGTGTGGTATGGCTTACGGCCTTATCATGTTGAAACACCAGGTTCCTCTCACAATCCCCCAAAGTTAAGCAACGTCGAGCCTGATCAGTACCTAGATGGGTGACTGCTTGGGAATACCAGATGCTTTAAACTTTGATGTGCGTGTGGTATGGCTTACGGCCTTTATCATGTTGAAACACCAGGTTCCTCTACAATCCCCAAAGTTAAGCAACGTCGAGCCTGATCAGTACCTAGATGGGTGACTGCTTGGGAATACCAGATGCTTTAAACTTTGATGTGCGTGTGGTATGGCTTACGGCCTTATCATGTTGAAACACCAGGTTCCTCATGTTGAAAGGTTCCCACAATCCCCAAAGTTAAGCAACGTCGAGCCTGATCAGTACCTAGATGGGTGACTGCTTGGGAATACCAGATGCTTTAAACTTTGATGTGCGTGTGGTATGGCTTACGGCCTTATCATGTTGAAACACCAGGTTCCTCTACAATCCCCAAAGTTAAGCAACGTCGAGCCTGATCAGTACCTAGATGGGTGACTGCTTGGGAATACCAGATGCTTTAAACTTTGATGTGCGTGTGGTATGGCTTACGGCCTTATCATGTTGAAACACCAGGTTCCTCTACAATCCCCAAAAGTTAAGCAACGTCGAGCCTGATCAGTACCTAGATGGGTGACTGCTTGGGAATACCAGATGCTTTAAACTTTGATGTGCGTGTGGTATGGCTTACGGCCTTATCATGTTGAAACACCAGGTTCCTCTACAATCCCCAAAGTTAAGCAACGTCGAGCCTGATCAGTACCTAGATGGGTGACTGCTTGGGAATACCAGATGCTTTTAAACTTTGATGTGCGTGTGGGAATGGCTTACGGCACTGCTTGGGAACTTTATCATGTTGAAACACCAGGTTCCTCTACAATCCCCAAAGTTAAGCAACGTCGAGCCTGATCAGTACCTAGATGGGTGACTGCTTGGGAATACCAGATGCTTTAAACTTTGATGTGCGTGTGGTATGGCTTACGGCCTTATCATGTTGAAACACCAGGTTCCTCTACAATCCCCAAAGTTAAGCAACGTCGAGCCTGATCAGTACCTAGATGGGTGACTGCTTGGGAATACCAGATGCTTTAAACTTTGATGTGCGTGGGTATGGCTTACGGCCTTATCATGTTGAAACACCAGGTTCCTCTACAATCCCCAAAGTTAAGCAAACGTCGAGCCTGATCAGTACCTAGATGGGTGACTGCTTTGGGAATACCAGATGCTTTAAACTTTGATGTGCGTGTGGTATGGCTTACGGCCTTATCATGTTGAAACACCAGGTTCCTCTACAATCCCCAAAGTTAAACGCAACGTCGAGCCTGATCAGTACCTAGATGGGTGACTGCTTGGGAATACCAGATGCTTTAAACTTTGATGTGCGTGGTATGGCTTACGGCCTTATCATGTTGAAACACCAGGTTCCTCTACAATCCCCAAAGTTAAGCAACGTCGAGCCTGATCAGTACCTAGATGGGTGACTGCTTGGGAATACCAGATGCTTTAAACTTTGATGTGCGTGTGGTATGGCTTACGGCCTTATCATGTTGAAACACCAGGTTCCTCTACAATCCCCAAAAGTTAAGCAACGTCGAGCCTGATCAGTACCTAGATGGGTGACTGCTTGGGAATACCAGATGCTTTAAACTTTGATGTGCGTGTGTGGTATGGCTTACGGCCTTATCATGTTGAAACACCAGGTTCCTCTACAATCCCCAAAGTTAAGCAACGTCGAGCCTGATCAGTACCTAGATGGTGACTGCTTGGGAATACCAGATGCTTTAAACTTTGATGTGCGTGGTATGGCTTACGGCCTTATCATGTTGAAACACCAGGTTCCTCACAATCCCCAAAGTTAAGCAACGTCGAGCCTGATCAGTACACCTAGATGGGTGACTGCTTGGGAATACCAGATGCTTTAAACTTTGATGTGCGTGTGGTATGGCTTACGGTCTTATCATGTTGAAACACCAGGTTCCTCTACAATCCCAAAGTTAAGCAACGTCGAGCCTGATCAGTACCTAGATGGGTGACTGCTTGGGAATACCAGATGCTTTAAACTTTGATGCGTGGTATGGCTTACGGCCTTATCATGTTGAAACACCAGGTTCCTTTCTACAATCCCCAAAGTTAAGCAACGTCGAGCCTGATCAGTACCTAGATGGGTGACTGCTTGGGAATACCAGATGCTTTAAACTTTGATGTGCGTGGTATGGCTTACGGCCTTATCATGTTGAAACACCAGGTTCCTCTACAATCCCCAAAGTTAAGCAACGTCGAGCCTGATCAGTACCTAGATGGGTGACTGCTTGGGAATACCAGATGCTTTAAACTTTGATGTGCGTGTGGTATGGCTTACGGCCTTATCATGTTGAAACACCAGGTTCCTCTACAATCCCCAAAAGTTAAGCAACGTCGAGCCTGATCAGTACCTAGATGGGTGACTGCTTGGGAATACCAGATGCTTTAAACTTTGATGTGCGTGTGGTATGGCTTACGGCCTTATCATGTTGAAACACCAGGTTCCTCTACAATCCCCAAAGTTAAGCAACGTCGAGCCTGATCAGTACCTAGATGGGTGACTGCTTGGGAATACCAGATGCTTTAAACTTTGATGTGCGTGGTATGGCTTACGGCCTTATCATGTTGAAACACCAGGTTCCTTCACAATCCCCCAAAGTTAAGCAACGTCGAGCCTGATCAGTACCTAGATGGGTGACTGCTTGGGAATTAGATGCTTTAAACTTTGATGTGCGTGGTATGGCTTACGGCCTTATCATGTTGAAACACCAGGTTCCTCTACAATCCCCAAAGTTAAGCAACGTCGAGCCTGATCAGTACCCTAGATGGGTGACTGCTTGGGAATACCAGATGCTTTAAACTTTGATGTGCGTGTAGGCGGCTTACGGCCTTATCATGTTGAAACACCAGGTTCCTCTACAATCCCCAAAGTTAAGCAACGTCGAGCCTGATCAGTACCTAGATGGGTGACTGCTTGGGAATACCAGATGCTTTAAACTTTGATGTGCGTGTGGTATGGCTTACGGCCTTATCATGTTGAAACACCAGGTTCCTCTACAATCCCCAAAGTTAAGCAACGTCGAGCCTGATCAGTACCTAGATGGGTGACTGCTTGGGAATACCAGATGCTTTAAACTTTGATGTGCGTGTGGTATGGCTTACGGCCTTATCATGTTGAAACACCAGGTTCCTCACAATCCCCAAAGTTAAGCAACGTCGAGCCTGATCAGTACCTAGATGGGTGACTGCTTGGGAATACCAGATGCTTTAAACTTTGATGTGCGTGTGGTATGGCTTACGGCCTTATCATGTTGAAACACCAGGTTCCTCTACAATCCCCAAAGTTAAGCAACGTCGAGCCTGATCAGTACCTAGATGGGTGACTGCTTGGGAATACCAGATGCTTTAAACTTTGATGTGCGTGTGGTATGGCTTACGGCCTTATCATGTTGAAACACCAGGTTCCTCTACAATCCCCAAAGTTAAGCAACGTCGAGCCTGATCAGTACCCCAGATGGGTGACTGCTTGGGAATACCAGATGCTTTAAACTTTGATGTGCGTGTGGTATGGCTTACGGCCTTATCATGTTGAAACACCAGGTTCCTCTACAATCCCCAAAGGATTAAGCAACGTCGAGCCTGATCAGTACCTAGATGGGTGACTGCTTGGGAATACCAGATGCTTTAAACTTTGATGTGCGTGTGGTATGGCTTACGGCCTTATCATGTTGAAACACCAGGTTCCTCTACAATCCCAAAGTTAAGCAACGTCGAGCCTGATCAGTACCTAGATGGGTGACTGCTTGGGAATACCAGATGCTTTAAACTTTGATGTGCGTGTGGTATGGCTTACGGCCTTATCATGTTGAAACACCAGGTTCCTCTACAATCCCCAAAGTTAAAACCGCAACGTCGAGCCTGATCAGTACCTAGATGGGTGACTGCTTGGGAATACCAGATGCTTTAAACTTTGATGTGCGTGTGGTATGGCTTACGGCCTTATCATGTTGAAACACCAGGTTCCTGTCAATCCCCAAAAGTTAAGCAACGTCGAGCCTGATCAGTACCTAGATGGGTGACTGCTTGGGAATACCAGATGCTTTAAACTTTGATGTGCGTGTGGTATGGCTTACGGCCTTATCATGTTGATACACCAGGTTCCTCTACAATCCCCCAAAGTTAAGCAACGTCGAGCCTGGATCAGTACCTAGATGGGTGACTGCTTGGGAATACCAGATGCTTTAAACTTTGATGTGCGTGTGGTATGGCTTATGGCCTTATCATGTTGAAACACCAGGTTCTCTACAATCCCCAAAGTTAAGCAACGTCGAGCCTGATCAGTACCTAGATGGGTGACTGCTTGGGAAATACCAGATGCTTTAAACTTTGATGTGCGTGTGGTATTTTACGGCCTTATCATGTTGAAACACCAGGTTCCTCTACAATCCCCAAGTTAAGCAACGTCGAGCCTGATCAGTACCTAGATGGGTGACTGCTTGGGAATACCAGATGCTTTAAACTTTGATGTGCGTGTGGTATGGCTTACGGCCTTATCATGTTGAAACACCAGGTTCCTCTACAATCCCCAAAGTTAAGCAACGTCGAGCCTGATCAGTACCTAGATGGGTGACTGCTTGGGAATACCAGATGCTTTAAACTTTGATGTGCGTGTGGTATGGCTTACGGCCTTATCATGTTGAAACACCAGGTTCCTCTACAATCCCCAAAGTTAAGCAACGTCGAGCCTGATCAGTACCTAGATGGGTGACTGCTTGGGAATACCAGATGCTTTAAACTTTGATGTGCGTGGGTATGGCTTATGGCCTTATCATGTTGAAACACCAGGTTCCTCTACAATCCCCAAAGTTAAGCAACGTCGAGCCTGATCAGTACCTAGATGGGTGACTGCTTGGGAATACCAGATGCTTTAAACTTTGATGTGCGTGTGGTGTGGCTTACGGCCTTATCACGTTAATACACCAGGTTCCTCTACAATCCCCCAAAGTTAAGCAACGTCGAGCCTGATCAGTACCTAGATGGGTGACTGCTTGGGAATACCAGATGCTTTAAACTTTGATGTGCGTGTGGTGTGGCTTACGGCCTTATCACGTTAAAACACCAGGTTCCTGTCCAATCCCCGAAGTTAAGCAACGTCATGCCTGATCAGTACCTAGATTCCTGTCCGATCACCGATATTAAGCAACCTCGGACCTGATCAGTACCTTGATGGGTGACCGTTTGCTGCTGTAAGCTTCACTGTGTGTTTGGTGTAATGAATAATGGCTGAGAATTTTAATCGAATGAGACGAGTTCTAATTCCACTTGGGTTCTTTATATTCACTTACACGCAAACAATCTTGGGAAATGCATGAATCCGCTTCTTCTCCCCCTGCTATGGGTTAATTAGTAAGACTTGTATCACTAAATCATTATTATCTCCAAAGTAAATGAATTCTTAAAGTCTAAAAATATTTTCTGACTTTAAATAACTTGAAAAGGGTTGATAAACTGTAAAAAAACAAATCAATTAATGCTAACATAAAAAAGACGCAGTTATTTAATTTTGCATTTGAATTGGTTATATCTTCCCTATACGTAAACTAGGGTATTATTTATACCGAATATTATAGACCAATAATAATACTTTCTACCACATATAGACTAATCACATCTATACTGACTGTACTTAGTCTTTTCTGGTTGAAAACAATATTTTTCCCCTGTAACAGAAAAGATGCCGAAGCATCTCTGATAGCTACAAAGATCATCTATTAATAAATGAAATGACCTTGGAAAATTGCAGGAAAAAAGGTAGAAATCTCAGCAAAACTTTGGTAGATTATCGTTGTTATAAAATAAAATAAGACATATCTCGGCTGATTTGCAGGTAAATAAACTAACATACTCAAGAGCGAGAGCTGGATGTGAACGGGACAAGGCCCCGTCACAAAATGGTCATTATCGTCGTTTGCGCATAGGCCCGACGCACGAGTTCCGGTCGAAAAATAAAATAATATATTAAAAGTGTTTCTATTTTTCGACGAATAAAATGCTTCCTCCTAATTATACTCATGTCGTTTTTTCGAGCCTGTTAAGCCATAAAAACGCCATAAAAAAGGGTCACACGGGGAAGTACTAGCAGTCAACAGGAGGCCAGGAAGAGATCTGTCACGGTCAGTCTGGGAAGTTAGTAGCAGTCAGCAGCAGTCAGCAGCAGTCAGCAGGAGGAGCGCCACACCAACCAATGAGAACTACTATGAGAGATCAACCCAGATCGGAAGCCGACATAACACTATACCACAAGGTAGCTGTCCCAAACCCACACGTTCCTATTGAAATAAATCCACGTAAATCTATTTCTGCTGTTGTCGTATTTCCTTCTTGCAACCATGCTCTTGTCTATAACATCGTAAAGCTTTTGATACTGTGATACACTCTTTGATCCTTAAGGGTTTCAAAATATGCAAAGTCTCCTCGTAATAGTAAATTTCCTTAAATATAATATGAGACAATGGAAAAGCACATTAAGTCTATATAACACCAAAGTCACTATCACTTCTAATCGTTTCGATATCCGACGAGTAATTTTCACTGTTACCCTTTCTGCTTTATCTGTCCCTAAACATTAATACACAACAAAGTATTTATTTCCTTATTCTACATGGATGACCTCAAACATTTTACCAGAGATGACAATGAGCTGAAAGACCTCCTTAATACTGTAAAGGGTTGATAAACCGTAAAAAACAAATCAATCAATCCTACCATAAAATTATATTGCTGCACGGAAGAAAGACTTCTGCTTTTAAATGATTTTTTAACGAAATAATTCACCTAGTACATGGCACAAGAGCCACTCAGACTACAGCGTTACTGACTGAATTTGTTGTGCGAACGCAAGAGGAGGAAGTAATCGCTGACTATAAAGATATGTAGGATAGATAACGGTTGGCCCTTGAAAAAGTTAAAATTTTTGTGAAGCAACCTCTCGGGAGTCTGTGTCACAAAATAGTGGTTTTCGGAAAGAAATGAATCGAACTTTTTCCTTTCTAATAAAACATGGAGGGGATGAGAATGTTTTTTAATCATTTCACCCCAAGGAAGGCAACGAAACCACAAAGTAGGGAGTCCCGGAGTATAAAAAAAAAAAAAAGAAAAACGTCATTAAAGTTTTGAATCCTGACCACCGCTTTACCGGTGGCAGAGAAAAATGACGTAATGCCCAGCCACCGGTTAAACGGCGGTTAAAATCTTGTAACTATTTTTATATCTACCGTGAAATATGACATACCAATTATTTGTGAATTTTGACCCAGGAGCTCAGGTAGAAGGGTTAAAATTGTTCAGGAACGAAAGGCTCAAAGGATTAAGGAGTGAGAACATTAAAAGAACAGGAATCAAGAAGACAGAAGATAACGATTAAAATTGAATTTTAATTTTTGAAGATCAAATTTGACTGGAAAGCAAGACGCTGTAAAAGAGATCCACAAGCTAGAAGTGCAAGAGAAGAATCTATTAGCATAGAACTTACGGTTATATCTAGCCATTTCAAGTGTAAAATGATGAGAGCTTGCCGCCAATCTAGTGATCGAAATGAAGGCTTCAGTTCGACATTCCAACCACCTGAAGAAGGCCGGAGCGTACAACGGCCGAAACGTTGTAATAAATATAGCAACAAAGATGAAGACAATAGTCCGAATAATGTAAATAGTGTACATAATACCTCATCTCAGAAATATAGACAGATATCATTTATTCTGTTAGCGCATTTTTACGCCACTGTCGTCACCTCTCTCCTCCATCTCAAAATTATCGTTCATGGTGACATTCAAGGCAGAAATAGTGCAACAGTTGACCGGTTCTTTTTTGTACAGGTTATGTTGAGCTTACTCTGTCCCTCCTAAAAGGCAGCAGGTAGTTTGTATTTAGAGCATTCCTTGCCAAACAAAACTATAGGGCCTAGTCTGTCCTGCTATTTACCCATAGCTTTCTTGGAAGAGATGGATTCATACCTTTCCCATGAACTCGACTGGAAATCGAACTCGTCTTTCTGATTCCTCAATCCGAGCAGCTATCCATTGCTCCGCCATGCCTCCATTGGATAAAAATATATTGCACAGAAATAGTAATCTTAATAATAATAATAATAATAATAATTTTCGGGTAGATGGAACTGGTCAGCCCGGTAGGGTAGTCCATCTAAGAGAAGGAAAGCTTTTAAAACCCCTACTGCCTTTCGGCTATACCCAATCAAGGGAAAGGCTTCG